GTGGTTCAGTCTGTCCCAGACTATAAAGTCAGTTATTTCAGTAATATAATTTCTAAGATCTATAAAAAATGAAAAATTTTTTATTTTCAGATACAACTTTTTTTTTTTTTTTTTTTTTTTTTTTTTTTTTTTTTTTTTGAGACAGAGTCTTGCTCTGTCACCCAGGCTGGAATGCAGTGGCATGATCTTGGCTCACTGCAACTTCCACCTCCTGGGTTCAAACCGTTCTCCTGCCGCAGGCCCCTGGGTAGTTGTGATTATAGACGCCTGCCGCCGCATCTGGCTAATTTTGTATTTTAGTAGATACAGGGTTTCTCCGTGTTGGTCAAGCTGGTCTCAAACTTTTGACCTCAGGTGATCTGCCCGCCTCAGCCTGCCAAAGTGCTGGGATTACAGGCGTGAACTACCACATCCAGCCTTATTTTCAGATAGGACTTACTGTGAGATCACTGAACAGTCAGGAAACCTGTTTGTTTTCCAGCCCCCATCCTGCTTCAAGTTACATAGTTTCTAGCCTTTTCAACTCTAGAAATCCCACATTATTATTTAATATCCTGCTTTATGGTTCTTACTGGTATATGGTATAGATCAACTCAAAATTTTAAATGTTCATCATATGAATTTTTGTTTAGAGATTTCAAGATGAGTTGACCTGAAAATAAAAAGAACTATAAATAAATTTTACTATTTTCTTGTTGGTACATATTGTTCAATAAAATATTGGTATACATTGTTCAATAAATTAGTTGTGCATTATGAATTAAATTTTCAACCTAAAAACCAGATTGTTCCAGAAAGATGGAATAGACGGATGTACCTTTCCTTATTTATCCCATACATCTGAAACCTTGTATATTATAAACAAACATAAGACTCTGGTGATTGATTTTTTTTTTTTCTTCAAGACAGGGTCTTACTCTCTTGCCCAGGCTGGAATGCAGTGATGTAATCATGGCTCGCTGCAGTCTTGACCTCCAAGGCCCAACTGATCCTCCCATTCCAGCCTCCAAAATAGCTGGGACCACAATCTTGTACATGCATCACCATGCCTGGCTGTTTTTTTTTTTTTTTTTTTTTTTTTTTTTTGTAGGTATGGTGCTCCCTATGTTTCCCAGGCTCAAACTCCTGGGCTCAGGTGATCCTTCCACCCTGGCCTTCCAAACTGCTGGGATGCAGATATGAGCCACCATGCCTGACCTGTGGTGATTTTTTTTTGCCTCATATATCCCAGACTTGGAGCTGAAGAAGATGGAAACCCAGAAATACCAGCAGAGACTCACCATAAAAGGAAGCCCTAAGAAAAGCCTACTGTCTCTACCCAAAGGACCGGCAATTGGGCAGTCTAGCAAGACAGAAAACTTGAGATGGCCACTCTGCTTTAGTCACACAACGAGATAAAGCTGGTCCAATGACTATGCACATCCACAAAGCCAAGTGGGGAATCTAGACTTATACCCTTAAAGGGATGTAAAGAAGGTTCATAAAACCCTGCTGAGTGGTGTCAGAGAATGCCAAAAGTTAGGTTATTCATCCACACTGGCTGGTAATAAGCACCTACCTTATCCCAGCAGTAATAGTGGGGATAATGTACAGAAAGAGCTTCTTCCCCACACAGTAGGAAGAAAGCATCCTTCCCCATTTCTGCTAGGTTGGTGTAAGTGGAGGCCTAGTGCAGAGTAAGACCATTTCCCACTGCCCAGCGGTAATCGGACCACATTCCAGCCCCACAGTGTTGTTGGAAGGTAAATACGGAGCAGGAACGAGGCACACTTAACAGCTCCCAGTCATAGTTGTATCAGTGTAGGCCTAGTGAGCTGCCAGAAATTTCACCCACACAAGTAAAATGGAGACCCTTATGTCTTGTGGTGTCTAGAGATGGCAAGAGAGGAACCTGACCTTCTAGTCTACCTGGTCAATTAAGAATCAAGAGTTTCATGACATAATACCCAAATTGCTCAAGTTTCAAAAACGAGAGAAAAACAAGTTTCTTATTAATACAAGTCTACATGACACGGGAGCCTACATAAAGAAGTCCCAAAGAAACAAAGTTGTGTATTTTTATACTAAATATGATGAAGAGTCATGGAGAAATAGAAATGGACAAAGGATGTGATCTAATGGTAATACAGTAGGGGGAACTTAACAAGGCCTGTTTGTTAAGAGTTTTTTCTGTGACTGTGTCTTCAGCAATAATGCTACTTTTCTCCAGGTAGAGGGAGGGCAAATCTCACAGGAGAATCTTAGGACCTGCTTCAGGGGAAGGTCAGGAAATTCTTCCTAGGTACAGCCTGCTTTGTGGGAGATGTGTGCAAGTCCTTGTTTCTGCTCTTTCCTCAAATGTTGAGGTGCCATATTTTGGTGGCGTGTCCTGAACTACATAAATACGTATTGGGAGGGAAAAAAAATTAGATGTGTTCTACCCAGTCTGCCTTCTTTTCTTTACTGTATTTTCTTAAATAGTGTTTGGCATTCTTATAGAAGCAATTTGTTTTGTATTTTGGTGTTAGTTGATGGCTCTGTGGGAGAACAAGGGCCTAAGGCTTCCTGTTCTGCCGATGTCATTTCCCTGGGTTAAAAATTCTTTTATTTCAGTACTTGAAAAATGTTGTGCCTGTGTGGTTTCTGATAAAAAATCTGTTTTCATTTGATTTTTATCCCTATAGGTTTGATTTTTCTCTCTAGCCTCCAGATTTTGTCTTTTAGTTTTCCAAAGTTGAACTGTGATGTGGTTTGGTGTGGATTCTTTGGTTTCATGCTTTAGGGGGTTTGCTCAGCCTTTTGTATCTATAGGTTCTCTTATCTTTTATTAAACTTGGGACTTTTCGGCCATTAATACTTCAAAGACTTTCCAGGCCCACTCTTTCTTCTCTCTCTCCTGAACTCTGATTATATTGTTAGATTTATTACTATAGTTCTACAGATTTCCTGAGTCTCTTCTTTTTTTCCAGTCTGTTTTCTCTCTGTATTTAAGACTGAGTAAATTCTATAATATCTTCAAGTTCACTGATACTTTCCTCTGTCCTCTCAGTTCTGCTTTGCCTACACAGTGAGTCTTTAAATTTTTAGTTATCGTATTTTAGTTCTAAAATTTCCACTTTTTTTAATCTCACTTTTTTGCTGAAACATTCCATTTCTTTGCTGAGTCTTTAGACTATTTCAAACAATTCCAGAATTTCATAATTGCTCGTTGAAACATGCTTATGACGGTACTTTAAAATCTTTGTCAGATAATTGTAACATGTCTATCATTAACTTCTTAGTGTGTACTGATTGTCTTTTTTCATTCAAGTGATCTTCCTGGCTTTTTTTTTTTTTTTTTTTTTTTAAGATGAGATTTCACCATGTTGGCCAGGATGGTGTTGATCTCCTGACCTGGTGATCCTCCCGCCTCGGCCTCCCAAAGTGCTGGGATTACGGCGTGAGCCACCAGTCTGACCTCTTCCTGGCTCTTGACATGACCTCTGGTGATCCACCCTCCTCAGCCTCCCGAAGTGATGGGATTACAGTGCAAGCCACTGTGCCCAGCCTAAATTAATTCTTTTATCATTATCTAATTACTTTCTCTACCTGTAGTAATATTTTTTGCCTTAAAATTTGTTTGATCTAAATGTAGCTACATAAACTTTCTTTGTTTAATATTTGCTGGTTTTATCTTTTTCCAACTTCGACTTTCAAGCTTTGTGTATCCTCATGTTTTATTAGAGAGCTAGACTTTTACAAATCTATTCTTAGAGTATTTTTAATTCAAAAGCTCATTCTGTGTGTCTGTCTAGTGATTATTGATAGATTTGGATTTATTGCTGTCACTTTCTTGGGTACTATTTGTCCCACCTTTTTTGATTTTCTCTCTTCCACCCCAAACTCTCTCCTTCCTTTCTGGAAATTGCACTCTCTTACATTGTGGAGTTTTATGAAGGACCATTTCTCTACCAGAACAACTGTGATGAATATGCTCATGTTTTCCATGTTACATTTCTCTTGCGATACTGCAGACAACTGGTTCAAGTCATTTGTCTTAGTGCAGCAATAGATTTTTGCTTAGTTAATAATGTGTGGGGCTAGCTGGGTTACTTTAGGATGACTATACGAATAGTTAAGTTTTTCATATTTTTCATCATTTTGGAATAGTTCAGACAGTTGTGAGAGAGAAAGCGCCAGATACGAAAGGCAGTAAAAGCAGATTTTATTAAGCGGTATTGCAGTGGAGGAAAGCCGCCTCATTAAAGCTGAGCTCAACTCAGCACAGCGAAACCGGCCTGGGATTCACAAAGCCAGCAAGCACAGAGGGCGGAGGACGTCCACGCAGACATCAGAGGTGGGGGCCTGCAAGGTCTGCTCGGCTGCTGGGGGTGGGGTCGCCAGCAGGAGTGCAGGGCCCCGTTAGAAGCAGGGCTCGGAGGCCTGCAGCCTGGTTGGGCGGAGTGTCCTTCTCACGGCGAAAGCAGCCGGCAGAGGAAGTCGGCGGCCACCTTCGGAAAAGCAGGGACTGCCGTCCAGGCTGCCGCAGCGGTCTGCGCGCCTCCACGTTCCGAAGCGGCAGATCCACTGAAGTGGCCGGAACGCAGGCCACACACCGAACTGATGGGGAGTCCAGTCTGTCCACACCCCGGAGGGTGGTTCTCACGCACGTCGAGCGGCCGCTGGCAGTGAGCCGGCTGGAGGACGGGCGTGGCGGCGATGCCCGGGGCCCGCCGCGCGTGCCGCCCCGTGCGACCTCAGGGCGAGGGGCCTCCGCGTCCGGTCCTTTCGGAGGACGCAGGCTTACCCGAGGCCGGCCCCGCTCCCCACGGGGTGGACGTCGACATGCTCCTCAGGGGGACCCCGAGCCCGGGCCAGGCGGCCGCCTGGGAACCTGGCGGCGTGCGCGGCGGCCACACGGCGGACCGTTGCCACGGGTCACTGGTACAGCCTCGCCCTGCGGGGGCCCCCCGCGCTTGCGCACTCCAACGTCCGTCCCGTTCTGCGGCCCCGCAGCCTTGTGGGAAATGTAGTCTGGTGCCTCGGGCTGCGGGCGCCGGGCGCGGCTGCGTCGGTCGCCGACTGCTCCCGCTCCTGCTGGGAGAGGGTGAGTGCGGGGCCCGCGGCGGGGGCGCGCCAGCCTTGAGTCTCGTGGGCCACAGCGGAAGGAACTTAGGACTGCGGGGCGAGGCGGGCCGCGCAGGGCCGAGGGGCCGGCCCGGCCGCGGATGGGCCGGGGGCGCGGCCTCACGGGACCTGTGGAGCGCCGGGACCCCTCGGCTCCCAGCGCGCCCCCTCGTCCCCGGGAGCTGCGTTTCCCCCGGCGCGGTGCCCGGACAGGCGCGGAGGTGGAATCACAGCCCGGGAGCAGCGGGGCCGGGGGTTCGAACGAGGGCCACGCCGGCCACCGCGGGTCCGGGAGGGGCCCGAGGTTCCGGGAGGCGCTCGGACCCGGACTCCTGCCTGGCTTTCCTCGGCCAGCGCAGCCTCGTCCCGGGACGCGCAGCCAAAGTGGAGCGCACCTGCCCCCGCGGACGTCCCGGGGACTCGGGGCCAGAGACGGGGTCTCCCCGTGCGGCACCTGCTCTTTGTGTAAACCGCGTCAGGGGACCCGCCCTCCGGTTCTCATTCCTGGGGCACTGGCGGGGGCTCCCCTCCCATCTCGCCGTAAGAATGGGGCGGCCAGCCAACCGGGTGCAGGTTTCTACCTCGGGGAATCTTTTTTTTTTTTGGGGGGGGGGAAGCCGTTTCACTGTAACACAACTAGAAAATTCAGATTAAAACAATCATTCAGCATCTATCTAAATCTGCATGGCAGCGTGGATACGTCTATAAGCACAGAAACACTTCGGACTTTGTTTTTAAACAGAAATATACTAGTAGCTTTTTCCTCTGTCTTTTAAAATTGAGTCATGAGATGCATTTCGTAAGGTGTTTGAAGTGCACAAATCTTAAGCCTCATAATTTTTACTGGCCTGAACACTACCCAATGAAGACAGGGAATACACCTCGAAAAAAAATTTAATATGTTGACACCATCTATTTCTTACCAGATTTTAAATGCAGCTGCATCGTCATTTTAATGAGTGTGAGGGAAAGTATGGATGTGAATCCTCTCCTTAGGTTTTTGTAGGTTTTTTTTTTCAATATTATAAACAATATAGGCCATCTGGCTACATACGTCTTTGCATTTTGTTTTATTCTATAAATCTCTTAAAGTGGAACTTCTAGGTCTAGGGTACAGTAAGACCTCCTGACTTATTCCCTCCAGAAAAGTGGCGGTTTATATAAACACTGGCAGTGTAAGAGTGCCAGATTTACCCACACCAACTCTCAGTGTTAGTATTCTCTTGAACTTCTGAAAGGTCAAAAAGGGTTGTTTACATTTGCATTTTGAACACCAATGAATACTTTCATGCAGTTTGCATTTTGCATTTTAATTTTGTATCTGATACATAAGCAGTTTCCTGACTATGCAGACATGTCGCAGGCTCATATGGACGTGAAAGCCTTTTCTTCACATTTGGGTGTTTGATATTGTCAGCGAAGCCTTCTGTCCCACAAGATCACAAAAATGTTTGTAGTTTATCTTAGTACTTTTATTTTTTGTGTACATTTTAGTTCTTTTCCAAATGGTAAGCCTTTGTTACAAGTTACTTTTTTCTTTGCTGATATGTCACTTTTTTCATATCTTGAATTCATATACATATCTGTGTATATACATACGTATATACATATATGTACATATGTGTGTATGTATGTATATATATATACACACACGTATATATGACCATTTCGATTGGTAGAATTTTAATTTGTTCCATTGATCCTTTTCCCTGTTTAGCTATAACATCCATGAGCTGGGAGAATTTATCTGTTTTATTTACAGCTATATCCACCCCGATCCCCATGCAATGGTGCCTGGTACAAAGTAGGTGGTCAACAACGTATCTGGTAAATAAGTCAGTAATACTGTGTTCCAGTTCTTGTAGCTTTATAAGTATCGGTGGGCAAGTTGTCTCTCATCAGTATTCTTTTTAAAAAAAGATCCTAGCTGTTGTACCACACAACTTATTTTTTCAATAATTAATTAACTTTTTAAAAAAAATTGAGATGGAGTCTCGCCCTGTCACCCAGGCTAGAGTGCAGTGGTGTGATCTTGGCTCACTGCAACCTCCACTTCCCCGGTTCAAGCAATTCTCCTGCCTCAGCCTCCCAACTAGCTGGGATTATAGGTGCCCACCACCACTCCCTAATTTTTGTATTTTTAGTAGAGATGGAGTTTTGTCATTTTGGCCAGGCTGGTCTCAAACTCCTGGCCTTAAGTGATCCACCTGCTTTGGCCTCCCAAAGTGCTGGGATTATAGGTGTATGCTACTGTGCCTGGCCCATGTTAACTTTAAAATATTGTTACTTAGGAGTAACTTGGTTGGGAATGTGTTAAGTTTATAAATTAAAGAAATTACATCCTAGGATATTGAGACATCTTGTGCAAGAATGTCATGTCTCTCTGTCATTCATCGTTATATAGCTAAATAAACATAATAAAGGAAACTTAATACATGAAAACTGTTTTCTTTGTGTAGACACTATTCAGGTCTTTATTTACTGTATTTTTGTTGTTGCTGTTGCAGGAGTCTTGTTTCTCATGGCTTCTTTCCCTTCCCTCAGCTCTGCCTCCTCTGACTCCTGTCCCTCCCTAAGGAAGAACCCCACAGGAAGAAAGGAGAAGGCAATGGCTGCTGGGCCTGTGCCATTGGGAGCTCAGGTGAGCTCATTTTTCCTCTCTCAAACCTCCCCCTTACTCCTATACTGCACGTGGGTTCACTGCCGAGGACAGGGTCTAGCAGAATGCTCGGTATTTTTCACCAAGCCCCCTCAGTGTTCCTGACCGCCATTCCTAGCTGCCACGTACTCATTAGGCTGGATACCCTGGCCTGCTGTGTCCTTGGTGTTGTTCAAGGTTCAGAAAGGGAACAAAAATTATGTGAGAGTTGATCCTGGTGCTTATAGGGCTTACGGGCTCTCAGGGATCATAAAAGAGGGCACATCTGCATGGGATACAATCATAATTGTACCTGAGAATGGTAATAAGAACAAGTGTGGGCTGGGTGCAGTGGCTCACACCTGTAATCCCACCACTTTGGGAGGCCAAGCTGGGTGGATCACAAGGTCAGAAGTTCAGGACCAGCCTGCCCAATATGGTGAAACCCTGTGTCTACTAAAAAATACAAAAAATTAGCCGGGCATGGTGGCATGTGCCTGTAGTCCCAGCTACTTGGGAGACTGAAGCAGGAGAAGCGCTTGAACCTGGGAGGCAGAGGTTGCAGTGAGTTGAGATCGCGCCACTACACTTAGCCTGAGTGACAAAGTGGGACTCTTGTCTCAGAAAAAAAAAAATAATAATAAAGAACAAATGTGGTTAGGAATTCAGGTTATCGGTATTCCAAGCCTGAGTGAAGGGGAGAATCAGGGGCGTGGCCAGGAGAAGTAGGGAGTGTTTATCCATCTCAAGGGTTGGGAAAGTATAACTGGAGAGGATTTGGTATAATTGAGTCAGTGTGTCCAGAGTTTAAATCCTGACTATACCATTCAATAGCTGCATTGTCTTGGCAAGAGGCTTGTCTTTCCTAAAGCATTAGTCCTCGTGGTCATAATAGGAATTACAGCATTAACTAAGTGTCTGCCTTATAGGTGGCATTATTCAGAATTTTGCATGGCTCATTTCATTTAATAATACCTACTTCATAGGTCTGCTGAAAGTTCAAATAAAATAAGTAAAAAAGGCCTGGCATGGTTCCTGGAATGTCGAAAGTATTCAGTAAGTGGTAGGCATTCTTAGCATCATCCCAGCCAAGAGCCTGGTGTTCAGACTTCTAGAGGCGGAATGAAGGAAGCAGTGACTGATAGACATGCTTGGCTGAAGTAGAAGAAATCAGATAAGAATTGTAGGACCGTGCTGGGCATGGTGGCTCACGCCTGTAATCCCAGCACTTTGGGAGGCTGAGGCGGGCGGATCACAAGGTCAAGAGATCAAGACCATCCTGGTCAACATGGTGAAACCCTGTCTCTACTAAAAATACAAAAAAAATTAGCTGGGCATGGTGGTGCGTGCCTGTAATCCCAGCTACTCAGGAGGCTGAGGCAGGAGAATTGCCTGAACCCAGGAGGCGGAGGTTGCGGTGAGCCAAGATCGCACCATTACACTCCAGCCTGGGTAACAAGAGCGAAACTCCATCTCAAAAAAAAAAGAATTGTAAGACCAATTGTCAGGAAGAAGGACTTTGTGTCTTTGTCCGGGTGGTGGCCATGGGAGTGGAGGTCAGTCTGAGGAATTTTGATAAGGGAGCTGGCATGATCAAAGCTTTTCTAGGAACAAGTAGTATCCATGAGACAGAGGGAGGCATGGAGCTAGGGTAGTAGGTGAGGATTCCAGGTTTCTCTGAAAAAGAAAATAAGGCATCAGAAAAGGTCCTTTTTGTTTGTTTGTTTGGTTTTTTTAAGGTTAAACTTACTTAGCCTTGTTGTCTGGAATACTGAAGACTTACGATGTTTTCTCTTTTCATAAAATCATATATTTGGGGTCCTTGATTTATTAGGATCACTTGCTTATTTATTAGAGACCAGTTTAAAGAAGGCTTCGTGGAGGCAAGTATAAACTTGTGATTTCCATTTTACTACTTTCTTCAGTATTATCAAACTCAGCTTTATTATAAAAGGCAAAATAACTTTTTCAAAATGGGAGTATTAGAGAAAGGGAGTTTTTGGAAGAGGGAAAGGTTGAAAGGGGAAGCATTCAGAAGATTTTGGTTGATGACAGCTGTGGTTTGGTTGTCAGTAATCTACATTTTAATTTATTTAGTCAAAATCGTGTTAATTTTTAAATCAGTTTTTTCTGAGGCACAGTTTAATAAAATAACCCATTTTAAGCACAGAATTCATTGAGTTTTGACAAATTTATGTACCAACATAGCCACCACCTCAGTCAAGGTACAGAACATTTGCATCACCCCAGTCAGTGTCCTCATGCCACTTCTAGTCCACATTCCCTACCCCAGGCAATCACTGGTTTGATTTCTGTCAGTATAGTCTTGCCCTTTTCTAGAACTTCATGTAAATGAAATCAAACAGTATGTATACTTTTGTGCCTGGCTCTTTCTGCTCAGCATAATGGTTTGCAGATCTGTCTATGATATTGTATGTAGTAATAGTTTGTTCCTTCTTATGTCTAAGTAGTATTCAGTTGAATATGCCACCTTTTGTTCATTCAGTTGCGACAGATATTTCAAGTTGTTTCCTGTTTTTAGCTATTATGAATAAAACTGCTCTGAACATTCATGTATGAGTCTTTGTGTGGATATACAGTTTCATTTCTCTTGGGTAAATACCTAGGACTGAAATTGCTGGGTCAAGTGTACATTTGAGCTTGTGACAAACAGCTCAACTGTTTTCCGGAGTGTATGTACCATTGTACATTCCCTCCAGCAGCATTTGAGAATTCCCATTGCCCTATGTCCTCCTCCATGTTTGGTATATCCGTTTCCAAGAGCTGCTGTAATAAAGTACCACAAATTGAGTGACGCCAAACAATAGAAATGTGTCCTCTCACAGTTTTGGAGGCCAGAAGTCTGACATGAAGGCATTTGCAGGGCCATGCTCTCCGAAACCTGTCGGTGAATCCTTCCTTGCGTCTTCCTAGCTTCTAGCTTCTGGTGGTTTGCCAGAACTCTGGTGTTCCTTGGTTCATGGCTCTGTCATTCTAATCCCTACCTCCTTTGTCACCTGATGTTCTCCTTATGTGCCGATGTCTTCAAATAGCCATTTTTCTGATAAGGATGCCAGTCGTATTGGAGTGTGGGCCTACCCTACTTCATTATGACCTCATCTTAACTAGTTAAATTTGAGACCACCCTATTTTCAGATAAGGTCATATTGCAAGGTACTAGAAGTTGGGACTTCAACATATCTTTTTTGGGGGACACAGTTCATAACACTAGGTATTATAAGCCCTTTGCATTTGAGTTATTTGCAAGGGTGAAAAATGGAATCTCATGGTTTTTTAAAAAATTCTTATTATGCAATAATTTCAGACTTTAAAAGCTCCTGCAAGGGGGCACGGTGGCTCATGCCTGTAATCCCAGCACTTTGGGAGGCCAAGGCGGGTGAATCATGAGGTCAGGAGTTTGAGACCATTCGGCCAACATGGTGAAACCCCATCTCTACTAAAAATACAAAAAATGAGCTGGGCATGGTAGTACACAGCTGTAATCCCAGCTAGTTGGGAGGCTGAGGCGGGAGAATCACTGGAACACGGGAGGTGGAGGTTGCAGTGGGTTGAGATCATGCCTCTGCCCTCCAGCCTGGGCAGCACAGTGAGACTCCATCTAAAAAAAAAAAAAAAAAAAAAAAAAAAAAAAAAAAAAACTGCTACAAAAATTAAAACAATTTCTGGATAGCCTTCATCTAGATTAACATTTTGCCATTTTCCTCTCCCTGTATACACACACACACATAAGTATATAAATCTAAATATGTGTGTGTATATATATTTCCAAACCATTTAAGAATAACTTACAGACATCATGCCCATTTAACACTGTCAGTGTATGTTTTCTATTATCATATATAACAAAAATACAGTTATCAAAATGAGAAAACTTACATTGATACAGTACTATTAGCCAATCTACAAACCTTACTTGGATTTTGCCACTTGTCCCACAGGTGTCCTTTATCTGGTGCAGGATCCTACCCAGATCACACATTGTATTTAGCTGTTGTATCTCCTTGGTCTCCTTTCATCTGGAATACTTCTTCAGTATTGATCTTCAATGACTTGGATAATTTGAAGAGTGCAAGCCAGTTATTTCATAGAATGCTCCTCAATTTGGGTTTGTTTGATGTTTGCTCATAATTTGATTCAGATTTTGATTAATTAAAATTTGAGGCTGGGCTTGGTGGCTCACACCTGTAATCCCAGCACTTTGAGAGGTTGAGGCGGGCAATCACAAGGTCAAGAGATCGAGACCAGCCTGGCCAACATGATGAAACCCCATTCCTACTAAAAATACAAAAATTAGCTGGGCATGGTGGTACATGCCTGTAGTCCCAGCTACTTGAGAGGCTGAGGCAGGAGAAACACTTGAACCTGGGAGGTGGAGGTTGCAGTAGGCTGAGATTGCGCCACTGGACTCCAGCCTGGTGACACAGCAAGACTCTGCTTCAAAAAAAAAAATTGAATGGCTGATATATTCATGGTATTCAAAATTCAAAAAATATAAGTAAGCATTCACTTAAGTCTTCTTCCTGTCCTTGTCTCTAAGCTCCCTGTTCTCCATCCACATAAAAAGGTAATGATGCTCATTTTTTAGGTAGCCTTCCAGAGATACTACAAAAGCCCATAAATATACATATTTTCCCCAATTTTTTATCCAATTGGTAAGAGATAATATTTATTCAGGATTATGCACCTGTTGTATTTTCAGCTATTTCACAATGTATCTTGGAGACCTGTCCATATCAGTACATCAAGGGCTTCTTTGATTATGTGGGTATGTCATAGTTTAGTTTTTTTTTTTTTTTTTGAGATGGAGTCTTGCTTTGTCACCCAGGCTAGAGTGCAGTGGTGCGATCTCGGCTCACTGCAATCTCTGCCTCCCGGGTTCAAACGATTCTCCTGTCTCAGCCTCCTGAGTAGCTGGGATTACAGGTGCATGCCACCATGTCCAGGTAATTTTTATATTTTTAGTAGAGATGGGGTTTCACCAT